TAACTCATTTTCTTCTCTCCTTAACATCTTTAACATGATTTCAACTTCAAATCAAAGATTTTCATGGGGGAAATTGGGTGTTTTGGGTAGAACCTAGGTTTTTCTAAAATTGGGGATTTAGACCTCAATTTGATGTCCGATTTCAAAACAAATTATAAATTTGGATTCGTGGGGGAATGAGTAATCGGGTTTTGGTCCGGACCTCGGGTTTCGACCACGTGGACCCGGGGATGATTTTGACTTTTAGGGTAAAACTTTGAAAAACTCATTTTCATGCATTGGAGTTGATTTATTTAGCACTTATTGATGTAATTAAGTAACTTGTGATTAGATTTGAGCGGATTGGTGGTGGAATCGAGGAGTAAAGCTATAATTGAGACTTGAGTGTTGTTCAAGGCATCGAGGTAAGTGTTTGGTCTAACCCTAGCTTGAGGGATTAGGAGTTGAGTCATATTTGCTACTTGCTTCTTGTTGAGTACGACGTATAGGCATGGTGACGAGTATCTATGCGCTGGTGTCAAGCATGACCGTGAGTCTTAAATTGAAAGTTGTTGTGTTATTGAATGACGCCTTGTATGCTTTAATTAATGATCTTCTATGATTGAGCATTTTCGTTAATTGAACTGAGTACCAGCTAAGTGAGATTGGTTATAGCTGATTCTCCCTTGCCGGGATGACTATTTCGATATTGTTGTTCCCTTGCCGGGATGACTATTTCGATATTGTTGTTCCCTTGCCGGGAAGTTATTCTATTACTTATGTTCCCTTGCCGGGATTTCTTGTGGTTGTGTGATGAACTGTAAAAGGGAGCGGGTGATACGCCTACAACAAGATATTATGAAATGGGAGCGGGTGGTACGCCTACTACAAGATATTATGAAATGGGAGCGGGTGGTACGCCTACCAAAAGATATTATGAAATGGGAGCGGGTGGTACGTCTACCACAAGATATGATGAAATGGGAACGGGTGGTACGCCTACCACAAGATATGAGAAATGGGATCGGGTTGCACGCCTGCAACAAGATGGAAACTGAAAGTGAAAGCTGTCTTTACTTCTTTTTATCTGCGTTAGAAGATATATTGTTAGTTTCCTTGTTATTTCTTGTTATTTTGTTTTGTCAGCTACCCCCGAAGCATGTTCCCCTTCCCCGACTTTAATTGCTTATTACTTGTTACTTTTCCGCCATATGTTATATAACTGCACAGGTTTATCTGAAGTCTGGTCCTAGCCTCGTCACTACCTCGCCGGGGTTAGGCCAGGCACTTACCAGCACATGTGGTCGGTTGTGCTGATAATACACTCTGCACTGTGTGCAGATCCCGGAGCAACTTTCGGACAGTAGTTGGAGGGCTTCCTTCAGTCCACTCGGAGACCCAAGATAGACCTGCATGCGTCCGTAGGCTCTGGCGTCTCTCTCTATCTCTATTTCCTGTTTCATTTTTCATACTTCAGAAACAGTGTACTGTTATTTTTTTTTCCAGACCTTGTATGTAGTAACTCTTAGACAGTTTGTGACACTGTGACACCAGATGTAGTACAATACAATACAATACAATACGATACGATACACTATGAAACGACATGCAATAACTATCCAAACAAGATGTAAGGCCCCGAAAATTTAAGGCCCCAAAATTACTACTTCTCTATATATAGTCTATATGTAATTATTTCTTAGTATTGATAAATTTAATTATTTATTTTTATATTACTTTTTAATAACTTAATATCTTCCTCTAAGTATTATAACAAAATAGTTTTCTACCAATCTTAGTTTATGTTTTTACCGAATTATAATTCTCTATTTATTAGTTAGTCACGTAAATATATCTAATAATCTAAGTTATTATTTATTTTTCCCACATAAATTATACTCCCTTCGTCTTAATTTATATGAAGGTGTTTGATTGAACATGGAATTTATGAAATAAAGAAATACTTTTGAAATTCGTGATATAAAACAAGGGACTGACTAAAAAAAATGTATCACATAAGTTGGGATGGAGGAAGTATGTTTTATTATGGGTTCTCTCATTTTAGTTGTGATACAATCAACGTTAAACTGATTCAAATTTTTGTACTTTATAAAACCAAGTTCTCGTTTTTTTTTCCGTTTCACATACTCACTTGTCTAATTTTTTATAAAATGATGCTCAATATATATAAAGCCTCTTATTAAGGCTTTGCTTTAGGCCTCCGATGCTATTGAGCCGCACCTGGGAGCAAAAACTCTATTTACTTGAGCGAATCTTGCCATACTAGCAAGTTTTATTCATGTTTATGCCCATTGATACAACAACTTTACAACATCGTGTCATTTGAACAAAATTCTATTAAAAAGAACATCTTTTCTCAATAAATAAAATTGTTTTTTTTGTAATAAATAAGTTGGAGATTTAGACTTTTCTTTTATTTTCACTACTTTCATTTTTTTGTAACATAACCTTAATTTTACATGCACACTAATATTTTTCTTACACTACTTATGGAAGAAAGGCTTTTATTTATAGGTGTAGGATTTCTTTTATGTTTGTAAACAAGATGGCAGTAAGATATTGTTACGTTAAATACGATGTTTGTTTTGATTGTTACTTAAATTTTATTGTATCGTATCATTAAATTCGTCGTTACGTAACGATAAAATGTGTCATTTTATGTAACGATCGATTTGGTGTGATTATGTCGTTACTTTGTCTTTGTCTCTTATCTCACCTTTTATTATTATTAAATAATTTTATTTTATCATTTAGACTAACTTTTTATATAACAATTTTACCCCGTATCATAATTTTTCTTTATAAATATTTCAAGTTTATTCTTTCATATTGTTGGTGCGTGATATCATGAAATAACGACAAACAATTTCATCTATCCAAACATTATATTCATTAACGATACGGTACTACAATACAATACGATACGATACATTATGAAACGACATGTAACAACCATCCAAACAAGATGTTAGGCCCCAAAAATTTAAGGGCCCCAAAATTACTACTTCTCTATATGTAGTATACTACTATTTATATAATTATTTCTTAGTATTGATAAATTTATTTATTTATTTATTTATTTTCATATTACTTTCTAATAACTTAATTTCTTCCTCTAATTATTATAAAAAAATAGTTTTCTACTGATCTTAGTTTATGTTTTTACCAAATTATATTCTCTATTCATTAGTTAGTCACGTAAATATATCTAATAATCTAAGTTATCATTTATTTTTCCCACATAAATTATACTCCCTCCGTCCTAATTTATATGAAGGTGTTTGACCGGACATGAAATTTATGAAATAAAGAAAGACTTTTGAAACTCGTGATATAAAACAAGGGACTAACTAAAAAAAAAGGTATCACATAACGGAGGAAGTATGTTTTATTATGGGTTCTCTCATTTTAGTTGTGATGCAATCAACGTTAAATTGATTCAAATTTTTGTACTTTATAAAACCAAGTTCTCATTTTTTTTTCGTTTCACATACTCACTTGTCTAATTTTTTAAAAAACGATGCTCAATATATATATATATATATATATATATATATATATATATGTGTGTGTGTGTGTGTGTGTGTGTGTGTGTGTGTATAAGGTCTCTTATTATGGCTGTGCTTTAGGCCTCCGATGCTATTGAGCCACCCCTGGGAGCAAGAACTCTATTTCCTTGAGTGACTCTTGCCATACTAGCAAGTTTTATTCATGTTTACGCCCATTGATACAACAACTTTACAACATCGCGTCATTTGAATAAAATTTCATTAAAAAGAACATCTTTTCTCAATAAAATAAAATTGTCTTTTTTGTAATAAATAAGTTGAAGATTTAGACTTTTCTTTTATCACTACTTTCATTTTTTTATAACATAACCTTAATTTTACATGCACACTAATATTTTTTCGTACACTACTTATGGAAGAAAGGCTTTTATTTATAGGCGTAGGATTTCTTTTATGTTGTAAACAAGATCGTAGTAGGGTAATAAACATGTGTTAATATGAGCCGTGGATTATTTAGTCAGAAATAATTAGGTGGATAATAAGTAAGTGATTGAAAGAAATAAAGGACAAACTTTAGATCATGGAAGCACATGAATTAGTGGTTATAAAAATATTATGACCACTATCTAGTTTTATAAGATTATACTTTAATATTAATTTTTTTAAAAAATGTACATCTCTAACACAAGTTCTATGCGAGCCAAAGACTATTTTGTTATTCACCACTAGTTAATTTTGCTGCGCATCGTGCGATGAGATACCAATGCATTCATAAACTGATTTTGCCTTATAAATTTAATTGAGATAAAAGTCATAAATGTTGTATCGAGAAAGATGCAAACTTGAAAATAAAGAAGATAAAGAAGAAAAACCCTTGAAAACGAAGATAAAAATTACAAGATTACAAAAATTCAAAAGGCTACACTATAACAATAATAGAGTTACAATAGTTTTCCAAATTAGCTACCCAATAAGTACCAAACACCGAGCAACAAGAGCAATAACAAATCAATTGAAGAAAAAGGAGAAATCACAAAAAATAGAGCTACTATTCAAGGCTCGAAATCGGATGCTACAGGCTTCCAAATCCGATCTCCATCACTCAAATAAAAAATCAAGATGTTAGCAACACTCAGTCGAAATTTCAGCTACTCAGTCGAAATTTCAGCTTGATCCAACGGTAAACGAATCGAAAAATGTAATTTGAAATTGGTTGTTCGTAATAAAATTTGCAGTAAAACGAACTATTTTTCATATCTCTTGAAGGATGCTCTATCAAAAAACATTCTTATGTGCTAAAGTCTATAATTATCTATAATTACTTTTTTGTGACATTAACTATTAAATTAAATATGTCAGGATTTAGAAGAAATTGTCCTTTATGAAATTACTGATAAAAGATTGTTACATTTTCCCTTTTTCCCTCCTTCCAAACAAGGAGTTGTGTAATCTATGTACATCCAAACAAAACCTTATGGACACTGTCAAATTCCCCCAATTGCTATAAGGCTAAAAATAAATTTTAAAGAACCTAACCCTAACGACACCGTATTCCTAATTGTGCCTCGCCGATTCTCAACTCCACCTCCGTCGATCTCTTCTCCGGCGATCTTCTTCTCCGTTACCCCTCATCTCGCTCTTTGTCACTCTCTCTCTCTCTCTCTATACACACACACACGCAGAGAGAGACACACACATACATTCATTGCTCATTGCCTCGACTTGCTGGTTTAACTGGTACATTCTCTCTCTGTCTCTCTAAATATATACTCCTATATAAATATATACACACACACTGTGTGTGTGTTTTGTGCTTTAAAAATTGTTACTTTTCCTCTTTGCCAATATGGTTTCTATCCTATCATAAAGTTGATTTTTTCCTTTTTCTTTTATGTTGGTCTTTTGGGCTTTTACCTAGTCATTTCAGTGACTGGGATTAGATTAAAATTTGGTAATTTGTAAGTTCTTTTTTTACATTTGTTTCTTCATTCAGACTAGTGGTAATTTGTAATATATCTAGTGATTCATATAATTGCTCCAACTATTTTGGGACTGAGCAATAGTTGATTGATTGATTTGTAGTTATATTTCGTATGGTTTATCCTAATTGTTTAGGACCGATGCATAGATGATTGATTCATTGATTGATCAAAAGTTACTGAGGGCATTAGTAGTTTGATATTGGCAAACAGTAACAGAGCCATGATTTTCATTAAGGGGTGTCAAAATTTGAAGAAGTAAATATACGAAGAAGTTGAGGGAGTTCAACACATAGTATATACACGCCCCTTGGAGCTATGTGGCCCCGCCACTGCTTGCAACATTGTATTGAAGTCATGATATCAGCAAAAACATATGTAAGGGATGGCAATTTCAATCATCTGAAAATAGTTACAGCATCATTTAGTATGTATTTGTGTTGAACTTCTGATAGAAAACAAAGTCTGGTTTAAGTGCAAACAGTGTTAGTAAAATGTCAATTCACTCTGCATTGGCATTTTACACTGCTAACTCCCAAGATTAACCAGTGAACACACCGTTAGAGAATCAAGTAGGAAAGTGTTAGTAAAAGCTTGATTTTCAAGTACGAATATGAATAAAGTAACTTTACCGTTATTTAGAATTCTTGTGAAAACAGCGAAGAGCAGAATGCAATGGAAGCAAAGAATCCATAAGATGATATTAACCAGTGGGGATTAAGGCTCTTTCACTAGGTCTAGCGTTTAACACATGTATTTTAGTTATATTAGTGACTGTTTGACTCTATAGGATAGATGTGAGATTTAGATAATCCCTAATTTAAGAGAAATCATAGTTTGTCCTTAAAGTCAAATTTTGAGTAGTGAAATGAGACGGACCCAAGTGGAGTGGAATGGATATAGAGAAGTCACATAGCGACTGCAAATAGTTTTGGGTTGAAGCGTAGTTGTTGTTGAATTGTTGTTGTACCGTAATAGTTCTCTGGACAATGTCCTCTCTAGTCACCTTTTAATCCACAGTTATTTGGAATTTCCTTCTCCATAGGTACCTTTCAGCAAAAACCGCTAACAGGAATGATTGTGTAAACAAAATAAGATAAGTTAACTTCGTAATAAGAGTGGTTATAATTCTTTGCTATAATGTGAGATCAATAATCTTCTTTTATTTTCTTGGTAAGCAACTTCAGTTTTACATTTTTCCTTGACTTACATAATTCCAAAATGGAAATTGGGAAGCATTCAAAACTTTGTTTATTTCAATACTCACATTCCTTTTTAGATAGGAATTTAGTTAATAATCCTAGTGATTGGCAACAAGAGGATGGTAATCCCCATCTCCTTAATCAGGACTCGTGAAGTTCCAGTCACTTCTTTAATCCTAGGTACTTTTTTAAGCAGTTAGGTCTCTGACTGAAGAATTGGAAAGTTCAAATAAACATAATCTACTTTTTGGAGTCCGTCATAAGATAATTTCTCACCGAACAGGAATTAGCACCGTCATGGTGCAATAAATTGAAATTACTTACATATATTTACAAAACACATTGCATTTCTCACTGAGCAATAGGAAACCTTAATAATTTATTATTTCTACATCCGATTGAAGTTGATATTTCACAATAAAAAAATAAGGAACTAGTAATTTTAGTGGAAAAAAAGCAGGACCTAGTTTTTACTTTACATTTTATTTTAAGGTAAATAATGCTGTATATGCTACTTAAGCTTGCTCAGGAGTCAGGACTTCAATGGCCTACGAGCAATGAACTCCTCACCTTAGTTCATTTTTTATTTTTATTTTCTGGAAAGACCCTTATGTTCTTGCTGAAAAAGTAAAAATGGCAACATGTAGCTAAATTTGAGAGCACTGTATTTTTAAAAACTATTTAAAGTTTAGTCAAATATAGTAAACTATAGATAGTTTCTCTCTCTTCTTCCTCCGTCTCCTTTTAGACCTTGGAGTCTAAGATTTTGAATTGCCAACGCCGATGGCCGGGGGTGGGGGTGGCAAAACCCACAAAAATTTCAGCCTGTCTCGCCTGGCCCCATAAAGCTATTTTTTCAGTTTTCAACCCGCCTCGCCCCACCCCACTTAAATTTTTTGTTCTTTTTTTTTTCTAAAACAAACTAGTTTGATATTTTATTATTTTATAAAATGGAGAGTTTAATATTATTCAAGGAATTACGTTTTTCTCTTTGTCGTAGTGTGAAATTAGATGCTCGTACCAAGTAATCTCATTAGTAGAAACATAATTTTTCAAATGTATAAAGCTAAACCACGCACTGCCCATGAAATAAGAGAGACAAGATTCTTTCATCTAATCAGTCAGTTGCTATATGCATAATACATTCCTTTTCAATTTTGCATTCATCCTTAATTAGGAATATTTAATTACTACCCGCAAACAACAAACAACAACAACAACGGCCCAGTATAATCCCACAAGTGGGGTCTGGGGAAGGTAATATGTACGCAGACCTTACCCCTACCCCGAGGGGCAGAGAGGCTGTTTCTAGGAGACCCTCGGCTCAAGAAAGTAACAAGAGACGATATATTAGTACGATCAATTGACTCATAATAAAATAACATAAAATACAAAATAATAGTAATATAAGAAATGTAGGAAATATAGAAATACTAAAAAGATGAAAGGTGGAAGGTATAATAACATCCCGCCGATAAAGCCCTGCATCAGTAGCTGACCAGTAGCATCCTAAGATTAACTCCTAACTGGCTAGTCTCACTCTAGTGCGCTGCAGAAATATTCACAACTTCCCCTAACCTACAACCTTAATGCTCGACCTCCACAATTCCCTGTCAAGGGCCATGTCCTCAGTAATCCTAAGTCGCG